TGGGGCCCACAGCCAGGCAGGCACTTTCCACAACACGCTTCTAGAAAGTCTAGCAAGATGCTGGCCCCTGTGCTGGGGTCGTGGGACGTCAGGAGGGAGAGGCGGGGACTGTGTCCAGATCAAAGCACCAGCCTGCCGCTGCCCTGCCTGGGAGGTGGCTGGGAAGCTCGGTGTGTGCCAGAGAGAAGAGGGCTGAGCTGTGAGCTGCTCCCAGGGTCCCTGGGACCGAGGCACAGCAGTGAAGTAGTTTCTAGAGCAGGTTGCACATCGAATCAAAAGGCCAAGGGTAGCCTAGTAGTTAAGGGAGTGGGATCCCACATGGCTGACCACTGTTTACACCCTAGCCCTGGTAGCTTGAAAAACACTCCAGCATGTGTGCATGCATGGCAAAAATCCTGGCTGCACCCACTGGAGGTGCTCACTCTCTGCCGCGCTCTCTCTCTTCTCTCTCCAGCAATAAAAAGAAGGAGGGACCAAGAGCCAGCTCCCTTAGCTGTGCTGTCTTTCTTTCTATTTTTTTTTTTTTTAAGAATTATTTTATTTGGGACCAGCAGTTTGGCGTAATGGCTATGTCGTTGGACTCCCATGTAGTTGACAGTGGTTCGTGTCCTGGATCCTGTGACTTAAACTCACGCCAAGCGCGTGTGGATGCTTGCCCAGGATTCTGAGAGGAGAATGGAGGAGAAGGGATTATGGTGTGGCCATCCCCCCTGGGGGGGTGATTTCTCGCTTTCTATCTCTCTGTCACTCTCTGTTTTTCTGGCGAGTGCGTGTGCCCTGTAACACAAACCTCTCCAAAAAAAAAAAGAATTATTTAATTTAATTTAATTTATTTATTTATTTAGACCAGAGAAGGACAGAGTGAGAGAGAGGAGAGAGAGAGAGAGAGAGAGGGAAAGTGAGAAACCAAGCTGCCAGGTCCAGGACTTGAACCACTGCTGGCTATATGGGAGTCCAGTACCCTTAACCACCATACCACCTATCAACCCCTAGCTGCGCTGTCTTGAGACTTTAACCTTGCTGCGACTCATTTTCCTCCTCTGTAAAATAGTAATATGATCCACAGCAAACCCCCCCCCCATGTACAGGCAGAGGGTCGTGGGTGTCTGAATGACCTAGTACTTGTGAACAGGCTCTGTGAACCACGACGCCTTGGGCACGTATAAGAATTGGACTCCCAAGGACCCCACTCCAGGATGACAGTGACCCTTTGGCATAGGAAAGGAGCTGGGTATTGCTGTGTGGAGGGGGGGATGGCACGAGGCCACACTTCGGCACCGAGGGGTCAGGCCTGGGCCCCAAGGCAAGGCCAGAGCAGGGCTGGTCTGCAGGGTAGGCTTGAGGGAGCTCCAGCCCCAGGGCTTGACATTAAACCACCGGGCCTATGAACTCTATCATTTCCCTCTAATGAAGCCAGGGCAACTCGAGCTCTCAGCCCTGGGGACAGGATGGGGTAGGCACTGCCCTTCCGTCTCAGCCCTCTCTGTCCTGCCCCTCCCTGCCCTGTCCAGTTCCACAGTCAGAGTCCCCCAGGGTGCTGCTTCTCAATGATGGCTCTCCCTTGAACTCTCCACGCGGGTGCTGCCCTGGGCAGAGACTGGAGCCCAATCTCCATCCTCGGGGAAAGGTGCCTTTAATGTCTCCTCCATAGCTGGGCCTACAAGGCCACAGGGCCCTATGACAGGCCTTCTGCCTTGCCTCGTGACTGCCCCAGGGACTCCAAACCCACCTTGAGCCACAGGACAAGGGTGCTGACACCGAGGTCAGTCCCAACCCTCTGGCTGCTCCGGGAAAGCTGATCCTACCCCTCCTTGTGCCCTAGAGAGGGCCTCCCACCCCGCTAGGTCTCGGCAGCACTTTCCCTTCTGGGGCACTCCCGACCCCCTAGAGAGGTCTGATAGCCCCCTTGGCTCCAGGGGTAGTTTGTAGGTACTCCACAGACTGAAGGGGTTTGGCCAGGCTTGGCAGGGGCTCAGGAAGGTGGCAAGTCAGTGGACCAGCCTGCTGGTGGGAACTGAGAGCACCATAGGGCCAGCACAGACTGGGCCACAGAGGCCAGGAACCTCAGCCCTGGGGGACCCTCCTGGGTGCCGAGATGGCAAACTGGGCAGTAGGAAGACTTTAGAGGGCAAGACAGGCAAAGAAGGGCTGCCCTTCCCCACCCCGTCTCTGCTGGATCCTCACCACCTAGTCAGGGCACATGATGTCACCGTGACCCCTAAGGAAGCTCCAGCCAGACAACCACCACTTAGTCAGGCTCTGTCCTTGGCCTCTTCTAGTTCTACCCAGAAGGTGCTCAGAAGAGAGCGATGAGCCCTATCTAGTGGTGCGGTTGATAGCAAGCTTAACTGCGGTGCAGGAGGCCATAGGCTGGCCACGGGTTCAGGTTCCTGGGATGGCCTGAAACTACACCGAGTGTGTGCCCAGGTACCAGGATCCTGATGAGCTGAAGGGCTGGGAAAGGGATCATGGCATGAGGAGACTATAGAGGGGGTCTCTCTCTTTCTCTCTCTCTCCCCCCCCCACCCTTGCCCCGAGCACATAAACAAGCTCTCTATCATAAGTAAGATTTTTGTAAAAACCAGAAACCCTCTGACAAGCACTAGACCAGAGATGATGACAAAATATCCCTGGAGAGGAGAAGACTGCAGATTCTCTGGGATGGTCAGGAAATTGTCTAGAAGAGAAAGGATCTGCCCTGATGAACAGGCCCTCTCCAGCCAGAGGAGTGGGAAGAGTTCTCCTGACAAAGGAAACTGCGTGTGAACAGCAAGGAGTGGCAGTGCGGGCACCAGGCCGGTGGAGAGGGCAGCGAGCACAGGCGGGGGTGGCCATGCAGGCCTCTCCCGGAGCCCAGGCTCAGGGTCCCCAGCAGGCCAGGAGCTCAGGGAGGTTGCACTGAGCCACCTCCAGAGCTTGGCCCAGGCCTCCTTTCCCCACCAGGCAGGGCCGCTGGCACCCAGCCCTGTGCAGTTATCCCCAGAAGGGCATGCCTTGCTTGGGCCAGGCACTAGAGACTCCCTTGTCGGTGAGAGCAGGCAGCCCTGGCCTGGTCCTGCTCTCATGGTGCTCAGTCTAGATGGGTAGAGGGTGAGGAGGGGCAGCACTGAATCACCACAGTCACACGTAGCTAAAGCTGAGCCCACGGTGTGAGGCGACCCACGGGGAGCTGAGTGGTCTGTGCTGGAGGCCTTCCTGGAGGCTGAGCAGGAGGGCCATTCCAGCCTAGGGAGCAGCACAGGGCAGGCAGCCACAGCAGCCCGAGAGCCCGTCCCCCTCCCAGGGCTGTCCCTCCCGACATGGGGTGCTGCGCTCTGGGCCAGGGCTGCTGCTGACTTGGAGGACGGCTTAGCAGTCAGGCGTCCTGTACGCCTCCAGGCTCTCCCCTCAGAACCCCACAGTCGCCCATAAATACCCTTTACCCCCAGCCTAACCCATGACGAAGCCTGAGTGAGCTGAAGAGAGGTCAGTCCAGGGGGGAGTAGGGGTAAGCGAAAGCAGAGAAAACAGATGAAGAAATCGGACTCAGAAATCTGGACAAGCCTCCCAGAAGCAGTGCCGGAGACCAGCGTGCTCGGGCCTGAAAATGCCCCTGGGCCTCAGCTTCCCCGGGCATCTCTTCTGCCCTCTTCCTTCTGGCTGAGATGAACATATGAGCCTCAGTCAACCACTTCAAGTTCCCAGACAATGATTCCGCAAGACAGGCACCCCCGCCCCCAACCTAGAATACTTAGACCTGCCGCACTTTTTATAAACCTGTCACCACCAGCCTCCGAGCTTCTTAAGGACGGGGTCAATGTCGCGTCTGTCTTAGTCCCACGCCTAGCAGAGGCCTGGCTCGGAATGGGCGCCTGGTACGTGTGTGCTGGGTGAATGAATGACCGTGGTCAGATTCGTCAGCGCTGGGTGACGACTGCCTGATCGAGGACCAAGTCCCTGACAACCAGCTTCTGATTTAGCCAACGCCGAAAACCAGGTCCGAGTCCAATCAGAAAACATGTCAGGTTCTCTCAGCGGTGTTACCAAGGTGTTTTCATCCCAGTGGGGCTGGTGACAGAGGGACAGGCCTGAGCCTGCCTGAAAACCCCAGTGGCAGGGAAGAGGGAGAGTCGGGGCAGGGTCGGGGCAGAGCCGTGGCAATCCCCCTGGGACGTGCCTTACCTCACCTCCCAGCCTGGGACAGGCCTGAGCCTGCCTGAAAACCCCAGTGGCAGGGAAGAGGGAGAGTCGGGGCAGAGTCGGGGCAGAGCCGTGGCAATCCCCCTGGGACGTGCCTTACCTCACCTCCCAGCCTGCCACTCTGACTAACCATGACTGCTGCAGGTAAATTTGTAAACAAAACTCAAAACCACAAGGCCCCACCCCTACTCCTAGCTCCCAAAGCCGCTTGCAGCTTCCTGGCCTAATCCTCATGCAACTGGAAACTCTTATAGGGGAGCAGATAAAAGCGACTCTTGAGGAGGAGGAGAAGAGGCTGAGATGGCCCCTGTCCTGGGTGGCACCCCTCCAGGGGTGGCAGCAGCATCTCCTAGGACAAAATATCCCACAAGTCAGAGTGGCTGGGCTCTGCCCCGGCATGCGGCTGAGCTGACCTTTGCCTCGTTCCCTGTGGTCTCCTCAATGATGTGTTTGCATTTCTCCAGTCATTCACTCAGCATGTGACCCCGAGCGTCCACTATGTGCCAGGCTCTGGCAAGACACCGGCAGGTGCAGAGAGGACTCTATGAAAGCTAGGCCCTCCATTCCACAACCACGTTAGGCAGAGCCAGGGCAGGCTAAGCTACTCCCCCTGCGTCCACTCTAGGCAGAGCCAGGGCAGGCTAAGCTACTCCCCTTTCCCAGACAGAGCAGGCACTCAGACACCTCATCTTCTCTCCATGCCACCTTGACACTGAGGACAGCCCCAGACCCCACCCCTGAGCCCCAGAGAGGCGGGTCCTGCCAGGCTGCTGGGAAAACCCGGGCTGACAAGCCAGAGTCTCCAGTGGTCTTAAAGGGAAGGACGGCCACAGCAGCAGCAGCAGCTCACCTCTGCCCAATGAGACAAGTGCAGCATTTTGTGGATCAAGAAGCACTTTTCATGCAGAATCTCCCTTTGATCTAACATCGGCTCTCTGAGACAACATAATCCCCATCGTACAGATGAAGAAACAGAGACTCAGAGGGTTAGTGACTTGCAAAGGGCCACTTGGGAAGAGGACTAAGAGCTGAGGCTCTAACTCCAGGGTTCTCTCCTTCTTCCCCAAGATGGGGACCCAGAAGACCAGCACTTGGAGTTGCCCTAGAAACTGCAGCACCAGGGAGACCCACTCTCCCACCTGGGAACTGGTTTGTAGTAAGTATGCAGTGCGTGAAGACACTGACTGACAACAGGGTGGAGGAAAAATGCTTTTGCTTCTGCAACTAGAGAATCCTTCTCACCTATGTGCTAGAGGTCACTGGGAAGAAAACCAACATGTGGACGTGGGGAGACCAGGGGCGTAATTAAGTTAGATGTTTAAGAAGCTATGCATTGTTATATACCTCCAATACAGTATATGATCAGGTTTCATGCTCAATGCTGCTCTCGAAGGTTACCATGAGAATATTAAGCGCCCAGCAGATGGTGTAATGGTTACGTCGCTGGACTTCCATGTAGTCGACTATAGTTTGAGTCCTGGACCTAGCAGCTTAAACCCACACCAGGCGCATGTGCATGCATGCCCAAAATCCTGAGAGGAGAATAAAAGAGAAGAGATTGAGGTGTGGCCATCCTTCCTGGGGGTGATTTCTCACTTTCTGTCTCTTTGTCCTTCTCTGTCTCTCTGGTGAGTGCACATGCTCAATAGCAAAAAAATCCTCTCTAAAAAATAAATAACGATTCAAGAGACAGAATTAAGAGTCAGCAGTGGGACCAACAGATGGCGTAATGGCTACGTTGCTGGACTCCCATGTAGTTGACTGTGGTTCGAGTCCCGGAATTGGTGTCTTATGCACACGCATGTCCGTGATCCTGGGCCAGCTGAGGCTGGAGTGGCTTGTGCCATCAAGATCCTGTCGGGGTTGCTATCTCATTCTCTCTCTCTTTGTCTCTGGCTCTTTCACTCATGGGAAAAAGAAATACTGGATCATCAGAAAAGTCATGACATGTTTTTCTGTTTTTTTTTTTTTAATGCAAAAACGCATTATGACTTTTCTGATGACCTACCTAGGACTAGTCTTATTGTGAGAAGGGATGAGAGAAGTCCAAGGCTAAATCCAGGCTCTGCAAGATCAGAATTTCTCCCTAAAGAAAGAACCTTTGAGGTCTTCTAGGTGAGTAGGTTCCCAAATGGGTATCTAATGTAGCATGCCCCTAGGAAATGGATCTAAGCAAAGCTGTGGTTTCAGGCTGTGTCCCCACCTGTCCCTGCCCACCTCCCTCCCTGGCAGCTCCAAGCAAGCTCCGCCCTGGCTCTACAGAGTCCCCTTACCGGGCTGGAGCTACCCTAGCCCGCTGCAGAAGCCTCCTCCACAGCCCGCCTTCTGCTCACACACCTTGCGTTTCTAGGAGGCTCTGGTTGCTTAAAACAACCTTCCCTTTGCCTTTTCTACACTTCCCCTTCATCCTCCTCCGCCTCTCATCTCACGGAGATGCCTCTTCCTCGCTCCAGCCCTACACGTTTAAAGAGCCACACTCATCCTTCTGGAGGACTGCAATTCTCTGCCCTCTCTGGAGTTAGCGCACCTAGGTCACAGCAGAAACCGTCTGGTTCCCTAAGTACCCTGGACACTGTCCCCAGATGTACTTAGTCTGTAGATTGCCCTCCTCCTGAGCTCAGGCCCCTCGGCTTAGGAAATCATAAAAATAGCTTCTACTTGTTCAGCTCCCATTGCGGACATGCCAGGGCCTCTGTAAAACCCCACCCCATCAATAATGAATCGTGCTCAGTATGGACAATGTCGCGCACTTGCCAGGTTCTGTTTTAATACCGTTATTAATTATTAATGAAAATAACAGAATGTGTGTTCCGTGGACACAGAACTTTGGCCTTTCTTTTTCCTTTCTTGAGAGGGAGTATAGGCAGGAGGAGAACATTTTGAAGCTGTCACCATCTTCCTGCCCAGGCTCCTGGTTAGCTAGGACCACAGGCACGCATCACAACACCCAGCCTGTTTCTCTTTGGTGGGGCCAGGAATCGAACCCAGGCCTCACAGGTGGTCTCGGCCACTGCACAGTGGTGCCCTCACACTTGCACCATGGCAGCTGGCCTACAATTAGCCTCTGGGAGGCTGCTATGTCTCCAGCCCCCCCAAGCTGCACCTCACTGGATGCATCAAGTATTGCTACTGTACTTGATTAGTGCTAACAGTGATCGTGCTCTGACTATGCAGTGTGCTGTCTGCCCTGCACCTTGTGGGCCCGCTAGGAGGAAGGCTTATTGAATCTATTTTTCACACACACGCACACACACACACACGATTTAACCACTGAGGCTCTCCATAGTTAAATCACCCACCTATGGCCCGATAAGCAACAGCAGGGTCTGGATTTGGACCCTTTGCAGGATTCCAGGGCTGTCCCCCGCCCCCACACCGTAAAACACAACCCCTTTCAGCAAATGGCACCCCGCGAAGAAAACTTCCCAAAGTGCTCTGAGTTAGGTGAGTGGGCAGGGGAGTGGCAAAGGAGCCTCAGGTTATGCAACTGCGAAGCAATGAAGTAACGGACAGCAAGAAGTCACTGTTGTACCGTGAAAGCGCTGTTTCTCGGGTCGTGAGTTCAGAGTTCACAGAGAAGTGATCGAGGGGTCACTGAGTCCTTTGGTGGGAGAGGGACTGCAGTGCTCCAGACTGTTGCCATGGAAGCACCCAGCACAGGAAAGGATGCATCCCTCAGGGAGGATGGCTGCCGCAGCCCCTCCTCCTCCATCCTCCTCCTGGGATCTTGGACATGCATACACACATGCCCAGCATGAGTTTCAAGCCACTGGGTCCAGGACTTGAACTGTGATCGACCATGTGGGAGTCCAGCAGCAATGAAGTAACGGACAGCAAGAAGTCACTGTTGTACCGTGAAAGCGCTGTTTCTCGGGTCGTGAGTTCAGAGTTCACAGAGAAGTGATCGAGGGGTCACTGAGTCCTTTGGTGGGAGAGGGACTGCAGTGCTCCAGACTGTTGCCATGGAAGCACCCAGCACAGGAAAGGATGCATCCCTCAGGGAGGATGGCTGCCGCAGCCCCTCCTCCTCCATCCTCCTCCTGGGATCTTGGACATGCATACACACATGCCCAGCATGAGTTTCAAGCCACTGGGTCCAGGACTTGAACTGTGATCGACCATGTGGGAGTCCAGCGACATAACTGCTACCCCATCTGCTGGTCCCTCCCTTAAAGTCCAGAGGACAATTTAGTACCAGGAAAGAGGAATGTGCTCTTTCAAAGACAGTTAAATTATAGAGTTCTGTTTTAATCGGACTGCACTGTGAATGACAGTTTAGGTAAATTGCAATGTTTTGGGGGGGGGCCCTCGAAGCTTTAAGATCCAGTTGTCCTTTCCAACACAAACCCCTAAGGGTCCCTGCCAGGCTGATGATTAACTGCAAGGCCCAACCCCTCCTGGCCTGCTCGAGTCCCCTTCAGCCACTGTCCAGGTGTCCCTCAAGGGTGCAAAGATGGGGCACTGTGCTTCCCACCTGGGGCAGAAGGACAGCTGAGCAGAGAATTGTTGAGAATCCAGAAAGGCAAGAGTAAATGGACCACTTCCCCTGGGACCAAGAGAAGGCTCCAGGAGGGATTCGTCAGAACTGGAGTCAACAGCAGCCGCCTGGACGCACGGCCCTCCGCTCGGCTCGCACTCACTCCCGCCCTCCATTGTGTCTTGCCTGTGACTCAGGCAGAAGGATCGTTGCTGTCATGCCTCGGTTTCTCCATTTAGATTACAGGGACCATCCTGTCTTCACCCTCTCCGGAGTTTGTGCCCGGAGTTAGAGCTAGCAGTGCCAGAACACACAAAGGCTGACTCAAATGACAGAGCCGAGCAGCAGCAGGCTGGCAGCACGATAATGGCAGGCCACCTGACACCTCCCGTCTGCCCCCAGCCTGCCCCGGAGCCATTATGGGCAGAGATGGGGGCTGAGGCGCTGGGCTCAGATTGCCGGCAGGTCAGCACCTGTGTGGCTTAGAACACGGCAGAGTGGTTCCTCGTGGAGCAGCCAGCTAAAGAGAGACCTGAAGGAAAGTGTGACTGTGAGGACGCCTACCCACACGGCAGAGCTGGGCAGTTTCCTGAATCTGCTCGCACGAGAGCCTGGGGACCTACTGTGAGTGGCCTTGGCCAGGGTGCACCTGCCCGGGGTCAAGGGGACGGGCGGTGGAAGCCAGCGTGTTAGACACATGTATTCTCTGCTGCTGCGTCCCGGATAGGCTCAGCTCCTCCACCCCTGATGGCCCAGCTTCTTCGTGCCTCGCCCACCTTACCTGTCATTGTTGGGGCATGCAAGAAAGAGGGTCCTATGTCCAGCCTCCAGAAGTCATCAAACTACCTGTCCCAGCCGCAGGTGGAGAGGACACGGCTGCTTGTGGTTAGGTTGGGGGGAGGGAGATGCAGGTTCAGGAGTTGCAGGACACTGTGAGGCCCTCCAAGGAGTCCCTGAGCACCTGAGCCAGCCGGCAGAGCCCCACTCTGCCAGCCACCTGCGAGCAGCCTCCGGGCCTCTGGGCTCACAAAGGGCACTTCCCACCCCCCTCCCAGGGGTTTCCCTGCTGTTTGTCACTGGCCTCAGGCAATGGCACTGTCACAGCCAGAGCCTCAGAGGACCAGCTAATCCCATTGCCCAGCAACAGCGACATCTCTGCACAAGGTTTTCCCTCGAGACCATGCAAAACCAGGGCCTCAGCCCATGGGAGTCCAAAGCCGCTTCAGATGGGAGCAGGGCCAGAAAGCCCCCTTCACCTGCCCCTCTGTCTCCCTTGGCCTGCACCCCGTCATTCCAGATCTGCCCCTGCAGACTCCTTTCCAGAGCAAGTGATGCAGAGTCGGCATCACAGAGAGCAGAGAGAAGCCAGGCCAGGCACAGGCTGTATGGAGAGGAGAGTGGACAAAGGAGCCGGCTGGCCTGGCTTTTCCTTTGCCCTTCACCAGCTCCCTCCTCTTCTCAGCCTCATTAGCCTGGTGTAGTGCTGGCCCTTTTAATTGTGAGATTGTTAGCTCTTTTGTCTGCTGTGCCACCTCTGAAAGAGAGCTCCCAATTATTTGAAAGAACCTTGAGATTCAGAGAGGTTGAAGGGCATGCCCAAGGTCACACAGCAAGTCAAAAGGCAAGGTGAGATGAGAACTCATACTCCCCAGGCTGGTCCTTTTTGACATCTCTGCAGCATACTTAATCATCGCCCTGTTTAAAAACAAGAACTGGGGCCAGAGGGTGGCGTAGTGATTAAGGCGCTGGACCCCCACATGGCCAACCACAGTTTGAGTCCCAGAACTCTGCAGCTTAATAATCACGCTGGGTCCATCTGGGTATGTACTGAAAATCCCAGGAGGAGAATGGAGGACAAGAGATTGCTGCATGGCCACCCCTCCTGGAGGGTGAGTTCTCGCTTTCTCTCGGTCTCTCTCTGTCTCTCTCTGGTGAGTGCCCATGCTCTAGGGGGGAATAAAGCTGTTTTGGGTCTGGGTTCATCAGCTCTGAGTTGAAGGGAAGCAGGCCCCCAGGATATCTGTTTGCCAGTTGGAGCTGAGCTAAGCTCAGCCAGGAGTTTCTAAAACAGCGCGTGTGTGTGTATGTGCGTGTGTGTATGTGGTAGTGGTGGTGGTAGCAGATGGTGTAATGGCTATGTTGCTGGACTCCCATGTAGTCGATCGTGGTTTGAGTCCTGGACCCGGTGGCTTAAACTCATGCCGGGTGCGTGTGCATGCCCAAAATCCTGAGAGGAGAATGGAGGAGAAGGAATTAGGGCATGGCCATACCCCATGGGGGGTGATTTCTCGCTTTCTGTCTCTCAGTTTCTGTCCCTCTGGCGAGTGCACATGCCCTATAGCAAAAACCTCTCCGAGAAAAAAACAAAGCCAGTGCATGTATGTGTGTGTGTGTTGGGGGGGTGGTTGTTGAGGCTGGGGGGGCTGAGGGAAGGAGAAGAGGGGGGGAAAGGTATAGATCTACGGAGGAGAGGGAAGGCAGGTGCTGATGTCAGTAAAGCCTCTCTGGGGCCACGCCCTGCAGCAGGCTCCTTTCCCCATGTGCTCTTCCATGGGGGCTTCTCATCCCTGCTCTTGGCTGATGAGGCAGCAGCGGTCACTCTGCCTTCAGACCTAGCACATAGCCTGTGGCCCCTCTTGTCCCTTCTATGCCTGTACTGCTAGCATGATTCCAGGCCCATCAGATGCATACAGCATTTGTGCAATTAGTAATAAACCAGACCTGCCCACAATCCCCAGAGGAGAGTGGAGGAGACGGGATTGCGTGGCCATCTCCCCTGGGGGTGATTTCTCGCTTTCTGTCTCTCTGTCTGTCTCTGTCTCTCTGGCGAGCTTACACTCCCTATAGCAAAAATCTCCAAAACTAAAGTAATAAACCAGACCTGCCTCCCTGCCGCAGCTAATGCGGGCATGTGCACAGGGAGACTGAGTGGGGACGGACGCAGGAGCAGGGGAAGGGCCTCCTACACGAGTGGTCTTAGCGTCCCTTGAGCAGCCCTGCTGGCCGCACCAGGTGATGAAGGCACCCGAGGCCAGGCCTCTTCCTCTTATCTTCCAAACACATGGGAACTTTCTAGCACCAGCCAGCTGCCTCCTCTCTCATGGCCTTGCCTCACTCCTGCTACACTGACCTCTGTCCATTCCTCCAGTGCACCAAGCTCCTTTCTGCCTGCTTGATCCTTCCTGTCATTCAAGTCCCAGCTCAGTGTCACCTCCTCCCCAACCATCCTGACCCTTCCCGAACCTCCCGTTCTTGGCCTCCACCCCAGCACTGTGCCCCGTCACCCCACTTGGCTCTGAACAGCAACCTCATCCTCTGATCCTTTCCAGTTTATCTGTCTGTGGCCTGCCCGCCCCCTCCCGACACTCTCCCTCTCCCCCAGCAGGCGAGTTTTCCGGGTCAGGCCCTCAGCCATCTTGCTCAGCATTTAAACCTCCAGTCCTGCTGTAATTATTTCTTACTCACTTTTGAACCCACAGCTCCTGAATCAGTACAGCCTGATACAATGTGTTTAATAGCAATAGTGTAATGCCACCCATCCTGGTTGTCAGATCAGGGGTGGCAAGCCCGTGGGCTGCGTTAGATGGAAGAACTCTAATTACAGTGTGCTGATGGCGTGTGCGTTCCCGCTGGAGTTAGTACGCCCCAGCGCATTGGCCACAACTCAGGTTCGCCTGGTCCGTCCTCATCTTCATTCCGCTCAGTCCTGGTGACGATTCAGGAGACGGCTGGAAATGAACTACGGTGCAGAGCCCAGAGTTCAGTTCTCCAGGTCATTTAGTGAGTCCCTCCCAGGTGCAAGCCCAGGGCTAAACACCCAAGGGACAGCAACAAGAAGAAAGAGCAGCCAGCACAATTGATATTTGTGAGCTAAAAATACCATTTTAAATTTTAAAGAAAAAAGATAGAAACGAGATGCAGTGACTTTCCTTCGAAGGCCACGCTAATGCATAAAGCCCTGTCCCAAATGCTGGGGGCCACTGGGAGCCCCCACATGTGCACCCGGCACCATCTGCCTGGTAGTGCATTTAAACCTCACAGTAGCCTTTTTTTTTTTTGGAGAGATTTTTGCTAAACAGGGTTCATGTGCTTGCCAAAGATACAGAGGGAGAGAGACAGAAAGCGAGAAATCACCACCAGGGTAATGGCCTTGCCACAATCTATTTTCCTCTGTTCTCCACCTGGGATCTTGGGCATGCACGCACACATCCCTGGCATGAGTTAGTAGCCACCAGGTCCGGGACTCAAACCGCTATTGGCCATGTGGGAATCTAGCAATGTAACCACTACACCATTTGCTGGTTCCCAGAACCAGTAGCCTTTTGATGTAAGTGTTGTTTTCCCCCCTTTAGAGAGGATAAACTTGGGCTTAGAGAGGTTAAGGGTCTTGCCCAAAGGTGCACAGTTAATAGGAAACAGAGCCCTGCAGACTCCAAGTCCAGCTATCTGCTCTACCTCCCAGCCACACGTGGCTTAGTGTCCCCAAAGAGCGATGCCAGGCACGTCCCTCCAGCAGTCCACAGACTCACGCTTGAAAGCAAAGGAAGGAGTTCCTCCCGAAGGCCATGTCTACCATGCTTAGCCATGGAGCAGGCAAAAGCTGGGGGCTCCCATACCTAACCAGGAAAAGTCACCCATTCCTAAAGAGGGCTGAAAAAAATTCTACACAGGAAATGTACAGGTCCTGCAGCTCCTGTAACCATCACCAGGGGGATCAGGACCTCAGTGCAGCAGAGCAGGCAAATCCCCGGATGGAGACCTTGAGCACTGCAGAGCTGCCACTCACCTAGCCCAGGTGCAGTTCCTGTGCCAAACTGCAAAAGGGAGGAGAGACAGAGAGAGAGAGAGGGAGAGAGGGAAGGGGCCAGAGAACATGGCCCAGGCAGTGCCCATCCTTTCACCTTTGCCTGGCAGGAAAAGGGGTGTATGTACCATGTACATGAGCCTTTAGGTGAGTTGCCCCCGTGTGTGATTCTGTGTGGCTCTGAGTGCACATGTGAGTTGGCATGAAGCAGGCAGCAGATGTGCCTTTGCATGTATTTGTGTGTGTGTGTGTGTGTGTGTGTGTGTGTGTGTGCATATCAATGGCGACCTAAGACTACATTCTCTGAAATATCATAATGTTCTGATAGTTTTTTGTTGGTCTGCTTCATTAGGTATAATGTGCATTAGAAAAATACTCAACTCTGTAGTATACCACTCAATGGATACCCACATAGACAACACCCAGAGTAAGATCTAGAAGTTTCCCAATGCACCAAAAGGCTCCAGTGTATTCCTTCCAATAACCACCTCCCTGATGGTAACCACTATTCTAGCATCTGTTACTACAGACTAACTTTACTTTTTTTTTTTTTTTTTGCTTTAGGGCACATGCACTCACCAAAAAAAAAGAGAAAGAGAGACAAAAAGCGAGAAATCACCCCTACAGGGGGGATGGCCATGCCGCAATCCCTTCTCCTTCATTCTCCTCTCGGGATCTTGGGCATGCATGCACATGCACCTGGCGTGAGTTTAAGCCACCGGGTCTGGGACTCGAACCATGGTCAGCTACGTGGGAGTCCAGTGACTAACCATTACACCAACTGCTGGTCCCAGATTAACTTTACTTCTTAAACATCATGAAAATGGAATCAGGCAAGGTGTACTTTTTGTGTCTAGTTTTCTTAATTCATCATTATGTCTCTGAGATTCATCCACATCATTGTGTTTAGCACTAGTTCATTCTCATCTATCATGGAATTAGAGTCCATTTATATGAATATACTACAGTTCACTCATCTCCTCCTCTAGTGATTGGCAGCTGTATTTTTCTAGTTGTTTAGTTATTGTGAATGAAGCTGCTGTGAGCATGCATGTACAGGGTTTTTGCTGGATACTTGCATTCATCTCTCCTGGACAGCATTGATAGGTCACAGACTCATAGAGTAATTGTATGTTTGGCATTTGTAGATTTAGTCAAATCACTTCCAAGGTATTTGTACCTCTTTACACTTCCACCATCAATGTTCAAGTTTCAATTGCTCCACATCCTCATCAACACTTACTATTGTCAGTTTTTAATTTTAGCCATTCTGGTGTCTATGTACAGATATTTCATGACAGTCTAAATTTGCACTTACCTGATGAATAATGATATTGCACATCTTTTGGTACTTTATTTGACACTGCATTATCCCTACTCTGTGAAATAGCTATTCAAGTGTATATAAAAATACAACATCTGTAAAATTAGGCAAATGATTGGCAAAAACAGACAGCAGAACAGAAGCAACTTGAGGTATTCAGCAGCACCCGCAAAAGCCCAGCAACCTGCAGTTTCTACCATTGCTAACTAGTTGCTGCAATTAATAAACTAGTTGAACTAGGTCAAAGAGGTGCATGACTAAATTTTTCATTTGAACTAATATTGAGAAACCACAGACCCCCAGCTTAGATTTAGCAGAAAGAAGGGAATGCAGATAAGAACCAAGAACCTCCCCTAGGCTGCTAAGCCCAGCTTGAGAAGCTCTGTCACTCAGCTCATGGACTGTTTTTCCTTCAATTGCAGGACCACGACAGTGACCAACCCCTGAACAGCCTCGGTAAGCTCAGGTCTGGCTTTGTCTACCTCACCTTCTGAGTTCCAATTACCAGGGAGATACTAAGTCACTCTTGCATGGCCCTAATCATCCCACCTAGTGCTAAATTACATGGGTGACATCCAGCCACCATTCAACAAACCAAATATTAATAACTATACATACTAGATACATTCTAGAAGTAAGAGCCTGGTCTCTGAGCACACAGAACTCATAAACCTGAAACCCCAAGAGCAATCAATGATTCTGAAATGCCTTCATTCAGCTATTCATTCTTTTACTCATTCAATAAAACTGTGAGTACCTGCCATGGCCGGGCGCTGGGCTGGATGCTTGCTGTAGCAAAGGGAATGGTCAAGCCTCTGCCTTTGTGGAGCTCATAGGCTGGCCGGCTGCCAAGGACCAGCTGGACAAAAAGCCTTTTAACTAATCGAAAAGAAAATGGTAGTTTCAGTCTGGTTTACAGGAGAAAAAGCAGATAATGAGTTGAATATTTACAAATTAAGTGTTTGGCTTTTGTGTTTTGTTTAGTTTTGTTTTTTCTCCCATACCTTTCCTTAAACCATTTTTGCGATAGGGCACATGTGCTCACAATGGCCATGCCACAGTCCCTTCTTCTCCATTCTCCTCTCCGGATTTTGGGCACGCACGCACACGCGCCCGGTGTGAGTTTAAGCCACCGAGTCCAGGACTTGAACCACGTTGACTACATGGAGTCCAGCGACATAGCCCATTATGCCAACTGCTAGTCTCCCTTGAACCATTGATACCTACTCTTGAGAGCCTGCTGGATCAGCAAAACAAATAAGAAGCAAATTAATGCAAACAGATTGATAAGAAAATGGCCGATCCCACTTACTCTGACAGCTTATTCATTTCTCCATTCAGAGTCACATGTTAAGAATGATGATAAACGAGGCAATCTTCAGCAAGTATGAAGGTGCCTAGTTTGTACTTTGGAATGTAATGTATTAACAGTCCAAGTGTCCCCAAGAAACACCGGGCACCAGATGCTCCCCACCTGAGTAAGTCTGAGAACAGCCAAACCAGAAAACAGCTGAGTTCGCTCCCAGCGCCTAATGTGAAGGGAGACAGAGAAAAGATCAGTGGCACCCATGTTGTCTGGGACAGCGCCAGGGCCAGGCCCTACAGGACATGCATATCATTGCTAAACAGAAGGCAGTGGCCTGGTGGTTAAGGGAAGCTGGATCCCACATGGCCAACAATGGTTCAAATCCCAGCCCTGGTTGCTTGAAAAATACCCTGGGCGTGTGTGTACAGGTGCCTTGAATCTCAATAGGATAGGAAAATAGAGAAGAGGAGATGGCAGCATGACCATGCCCTGTGGTGGGTGGTGCGTTCTCCTTCACTCGCTCTCTCATCTCTCTTTAGCAAGCACACCCTCTGGCGTCTGGCAACTATAAAACAAACAAACAACAACAACAAAAACCAGAAGGCAAAGATGAGGATTTTATAGGTAGAGGGAAGATCCTATGGTCCTCCAACTCAGAGGTAGAATTTTTTGGTTTTTTTAGATTTTTGCTTACCAGAAAGACAGAGAGAGAAAGCAAGAAATTGCTTCCTCCCACCCCCATGGGGGATGGCCATGCTGCAATCCCTTCTCTCCCACCCCCTCTCAGGGTTTTGGGCACACACGCACCCAATGTGAGCTTCAAATTGCCAAGTCCAGGACTCGGAACACAGATGAACTCCACATGGGAGTCTAGCACTTTAACCACTACGCCAACTGTTGGCCCAGTGGTGAGAATTAATATGGGTTGTTGGAGCTCAGGGACTGACCCTGCCTCTACAAAACCAGAGGTAGAGGACTAGCAGCGGAAGCCCTTTGGGCAGAAGGCCAAATGATACTGGCTTTGAAGGTCCAGAGAAGAGTATAGTCTGGCTGGGAAAGTCATGGGGAGCTTGTAGACATTCTAGCAGGCAAGCGACAAGATGAACGAAGCTCTGTCTGGCAGCAGAGTGCAGGACAGGCTGCAGGAAGGCGCGTGGCAGGTAGGGAGGCTAGTCATGAAAACCCTTCCCTGCCTGAGAACGTCTGGGAAGCAGAGACGCTGGACTCTGGACACTGGCACCCATTGCTCTCAATAGGTCATCCACTCTCCATGACAGCAAACTCATCTCGCGTTCCCAGAGGTGGGTGCTCAACAAGAAAGTCATGCATGAATGAATAAGCAGAATGTCCACAGGGCCATGGCCATGGAAAAGAAGGCAACTCTGAAGACCTTAAAAACAATACCAACTTGGACCAGCAGATGGCATAATGGTTACGTTGCTGGACTCCCACATGTTTGAGTCCTGGATCTGGCTTCAAACTCATGTTGGGTGTATGTGGGTGCATACCCAAAATCCCAAAAAGAAAATGGAGGAGAAGGGATTCTGGCATGGTCATCCCCTAGGGTGCGATTTCCTGCTTTCTGTCTCTCCGGTGAGCACATGCATCCTATAGCAAAAATCTCTCTAAAAGAAGGGAAAAATAGAAAAAAAAAAAAAACACAATATCAGCTGACGTTATTGAGAACCCACATTGAACCAGCAGTTAGTATAATGGCTATGTTGCTGGACTCCCACGTAGTCGAACGCGGTTCACGTCCCGGACCCAGTCACGCCGGGCGCATGTGTGTGCATGCCCAAGATCCTGAGAGGAGAATGGAGGAGAAGGGATTGCGGTGTGGCTATCCCACCCGGGGGGTGATTTCTCGCTTTCTGTCTCTATGTCTCTCTCTGTCTGTCTGGCGAGCGCACGCGCCATATAGGAAAAACCTCTCCAAAAAGAAAAAGTAAAAGAAAGAGAACCCACATTGTACCAGGTCCTAATAGTTCACGAGCAATATAGCTTCCGTCCACACCCTGGTGCCTGACCTCCACCGGAGGATAAAACTTTTCTAGGGAAACACCAAGTCTCCTAGACTTACTTTTATCAACACATCCATTAAGGTCAGCATTTTTTTAGGTACAGTCTCTGGCAGGATAGCTCTGCCTGCGGTTGGGCTAGAGTCATGTGACTAGCCATCCTTCAGGCAGAATAAAATGAGACCCGAAAGAATGAGCTTAGGAGAACAGAGCTCAGAGCAATTCATCTGTTCACTCTGGGGAGTTGCACCGCTGCGGGCACCGGAGACCAAGTGCGGAACAGACAGACAGAACGTTCTGTCTTCATTTCGAGGCGGGGTGGGAGGAGAGCGAAGTTATACAAAATATGCTATTTTTGAATGTTATTATGTAAAATATGTAAAAATATGTGTGTTAGAGGTGAGGGACATATGTGGGTGCTCTGGGGGGAAGAGCAAGGAGAAGTTGGAAGATTGCACCTTAAATAGGGAGACCAGGGAAGCCCTCACTAAGAAAGTGACATGAAGGAAGAGTCAAAGGAGGCCAGGGAGCAAGCCATGTGCAGGTGAGGGACACGGCCAGTCTGTCGCCATCTGGGGTTTCTTGGGGTGCCATCATTCCTGCCCCAGCTCTCACTGGAGAAGTCCCCGGGGCACCTCCTCAGCTTCTTACCTGCAAGGAGAGCTCTGATTCTGTCTGAGGATATAGCTTTCTGGAAGCACCCCGTCCATCCCTTTGGATAAGCCTGTGACATGGACAACGCAGCTAGTTACTGTTTCATCTGCGACAGGCAGCCGTCAGCTCTGCCTGGTTCCCCACCACAGACTCTTCCATTCCCGTCCACCTCCTCCCTGATGAAGGGTTCATCCTTTTTCTTTTTTCCTTTTTTTTTTTTTAGGTTTTTGCCAGAGGGTGCATGTGCTTGCTGGAGAGAGACAGTGAGAGGGAAAGTGAGAAATCACCTCCCAGGGGGGGTGGCCGCTCTGCAATCCCTTCTCCTTCATTCTCTTCTTAGGATTTTGTGCATGCATGCAAATGCCTGGCATGATTTTCAAGCTACCAGATCCAGGCCTCGAACCTCAGCCTTGTGGGAGTCCAGGACCTTAACCTCCATGCCACCTCCTGGTCCCAAATATTCATTTGATCCTGTCCTACTACTGCTCAAAAACTTAAAATGATTTCTCACTACCCTCAGGATAAAATTCAGACTCCTTAGCATAGTGTTCAAGAGTCTCCCCAAACTGCCTTTGCGGGTTCTGCCTCCCCCTGGGCTCATACCTGCCTTCTGTTCCAGGCCCACTGGGCGGTGCACACTCCCTCACCTCCACTTCTGCCTGGGCTTTCCCCACTGCTCCCTACATATAAGTGCCACCCTGAGGGTGATCTCTCCAGTCCTTCAATGCTGTCTCTGTTAGAACAGATGGCACTTTCCTCTTGGGAGGGCTGGCATCTACGTCTCTGTTTGCTTATTCTCCCAGGCTGCAATCTCCTTAAAGACAAAAGCCAGAAGCCAGCACATGGCATAGCGATTACATTCTTGGACTTCCACATGGCCGATTACGGATCGAGTCCCGGACTTGGTGGCTTGAAACTCATGCTGCGCATGTGTGCATCCATGCCCAAGATCCCAAGAAGAGAATGGAAGAGAAGGAATTGCAGTGTGGCCATCCCCCCCGGGGGTGATTTCTCACTTTCCCTTTCATTATCTCTGTATCTCTCTTTCTCTGGCGAGTGCAAAAATCTCTATCAAAAAAAAGACAAAGATCATGCTGAGACTTGCTGCCTGTTCAAAGGAGTTGGAGACGGAGCCTTTAGGATGCATTCATTCACAACTAGTTATTAAAACTTCATGACTTGACCAGTAGTTGGCATAATGGCTATGTCATTGGACTCCCACATAGCTGACCGCAGTTTGAGTCCCAGACCCAGTGGCTTAAACTCACACTGGGCACATGTACATGTATGCCCAAGATCCCGAGAGGAGAAAGGAGGAGAAGGGATTGCGGTGTGGCCATCCCCCCTGGGGGGGGTGATTTCTGGCTTTCTATCTCTCTGTCTCTCTCTGTCTTTCTGGTGAGCACATGTGCGCTATAGCAAAAACCTCTCCAAAAAAAAAAAAAAAAAAAACTTCTTGAAATATACAGGAGACCCTTGCCCTCCCAGAGCTTCTAGTCCAAGAAAAGAGAAGTCGAGAAGTCAGGAAAAGGGTAAATGATAGAGTTACATGCTGAGAGGCTCCGGCCCTGCCAGGGCAGGCGTGGGTCAGGCTGGGCCGGCGAGAAACACCCTGGAATGGGCTAAAGCAGGTTGAGAGGTGACAGGACACAGGCCGCAGGCTCAGTGAGGGGCGCCTGTGAAACGTGATGAGTGAAATGAGGTGGGCCGCCATGTTCGGAAGGAGCTGAGCCTGTACGAATAACTCGCCAGCATCAACCACCTCGCTTGCCCCAGCTTCCCTCCACAGCCTCCGCACACTGTCTTCGGGTGCTGACCACGCCCTCTGCCTCCCCTCTCCTTGCAGATGTCAGCCCCCTGCGCAAACCCCGCACCTCCCTGGAGACCTTCAAAAAGGTGGGGATCCCCATCATCGCGGCACTGCTGAGCCTGGTGATCATCGTCATTGTGGCTATCCTTAGTAAGTGACAGCCCCGCTTCCCTCCACAGCCTCCGCACACTGTCTTCGGGTGCTGACCACGCCCTCTGCCTCCCCTCTCCTTGCAGATGTCAGCCCCCTGCGCAAACCCCGCACCTCCCTGGAGACCTTCAAAAAGGTGGGGATCCCCATCATCGCGGCACTGCTGAGCCTGGTGATCATCGTCATTGTGGCTATCCTTAGTAAGTGACAGCCCCCCCCACTCTCACCCCTGTGAGGCAGTCCCCCACCTGCACCCCTCAGTAAGCACAGCCCCCAGCCACACCTTCCACCCTGCCACCCCCACAGCCGCAGGCAGAAAGCTGTGCAGAAAGAAAACACCTCCCACCCCGGCTTTGAAGGAGCCTTCCTCTAAGAGTGAAAGGGGGAGGGGAACTCGGCGCCCACCTATCCCCCATGGCTTCTACCCCAGATGATGCTGGGGAGAACTCTGTGGCACCTGTTACAAACCCACGCAGGCAGTTTGCAGGCGGCCACGCCCTCTGCCTCCTCTTTCCCGTCTTCTGCAGAGCCAGAGCTGCGTGGATCTGAGCGGGACCACAGGAAGAACAGGGAGCATTTCTTTCTTTTCTTTTCTTCTTCTTTTTGTAATATGCTATAGGGCACGTGCACTCACCAGAGAGAGAGAAGCAGATCCCTGGGGAGTGGCCATGCCACAATCCCTTCTCCTCCATTCTCCTCTCAGGATGTTGGGCATGTATGTACACACTTCCAGTGTGTTTTTCAAGCCACCAGGTCCAGGACTCCAATCATGTGGCTGGCCAGGTGGGATCCAGCTGCCCAAAGTGCCCTGCCACCGGCTGGTCCCAGGGAGCATTTCTGCTTGTGAGGAGTGGGGGTGAGGGCACCAGGGGAGAGTGGTCAGGTGGGCACTCAGCTCTCCCTTTATCGTGGCCAGTGCCCGAGACCCAGCTGAGCTTGAGCAGGCCACGTGTGACCAAGAGGACCGAACTGTGGCCCTCACGGTCCCTTTCTGCCCCCACATCCTGAGGCTGAGTCGTTGCCTTCAGTAACCCAGTAGCCACAGCAGGCTACAGACCAATGGCTTTCACAGCAGGGAACAGGGCACAGGGATCTCTGGGGCCTCTGCCACTTGCTGCTCTGTGAACTTGAGTAAGCGCCTCGACTTCGCTTTTTTTTTTTAAAAAAGAAGAATTAGTTTATTTCATTTTACTGTTATTATTATTATTTAATTTGACCAGAGAGAGAGGGAAGGTGAGAAATCAAGCTGCCAAGTCCAGAATTCAAACCACAGTCAGTTATGTGAGAGTCCAGGGCCTTAACCACCATGCCACTGCCAGCCCCAAGTTCCTCAACTTCTCTTAACCACAGTGTCCTCTTCTGTGAGACGGCTCATAACCCCCGGGAGTGGGGGGGACAGCAGTGAGACATGCATACAAGTCTTGGATGAAAAAGTCCGTGCAAACGCGTGTGCCATGCAGTGTGCAGAGATGTGACCCAGGACTGCCTCTGCTAACCAGGACAGGACTGTCTGTGCAGCTGGGAATGGCTGATCTTTTGGGACCTGCATGTGTAGCCACGGTGGCGTTTCTACCGCCAGCAGCTGCCACCCTGTTGGAGGACACCCAAGGGTTGGCTCCCTGGTCCAGCCTCCCATTCCACACTTGAGCACTGAAGCAGTCAGGGACAGAGCTGGGACAGGACCAGTCCCCCAGCTGAGCAGGTTCGTTTCCATCCCGTGGCAGTGGAAATGCCACCGTAAACAGCACCCAGGGTCCTGACAGCCCTGGTTGGGTGTGATATGTGGTAGCCATGAGCTACTTCTTCTTGACCTTGGCTGGCCCGACGTGACGGCGGCTTTGCTGCAGCATCAGCAGGCCACCATCCTGTCTGAGTCAGACCAGTGCCGAAGTGAGCCTGCGTTCTCGAAGCATATGTTCTGTCACAGTGAAGTGCGAACAGGTGCCAGGGCCACCCGGGGAGAGCCAGAGCCACTCAGGGAGAGCCAGGGCTGCTTGGGGGAAGCCAGGGTCACTCAGGGAGAGCCAGGGCCACTCAGGGAGAACTAGGGCCACTTGGGGAGAACTAGGGACACTTGGGAGGGGCCAGGACCACTTGAGGGGGAGCCAGAGCCACTTGGGGGAAGCCAGGGCCACTCACAGGAAGCCAGGACCATTCAGGGGGAGCCAGAGCCACTCGGGGGGAGCCAGGGCAGCCAGCAGAATAGATGGCAGAGTGGGGCCCCCTGGTCCTGGAAGGCCCCACATGGCTTCCATTCCCTGGATCTCTGGGTTCTCCAATCAGAGGTGGCCTTGTAATCCTCCATCGAGCGCTAGGCACCCTCAACTTCTGGCTTCTGGAGTCTCCAATGATGCCATTGTGTGCTGGCTTCGTCCCAGGGGGCTGGGTAGCCTGTCTCCCCCTGGCTCCTGTCATGGGCCAAACTCCTTCCCTTGGCCGCGCTCAAACCAGAAGCATTGGAGGCTGCAGACCACGTCCTGAGCACCTGCAGGGAGCAGCTTACCGTGCGAGCCCCGTGTGGTCCGGGAAGTAAACCTCGACTCTGTAATTCTCAGCTTCCCTCTTTGTAATACGAGTTAGCCATCAGGGTTCCAAGAGGAAACGCATGGGAAACGTCTAGCACAGCTGTAAGTGGGGACTGTCACCAGGCTGGAGTGATGCTGGGTGTGTAGGGGAGCCTCAGGCCAAGAGAGAGCCCTGTTAGGAAAGAGGCTTTCCTCCCCGCTAGGTTGTCGACTGTGAGTCCTGACCAAGAAAGAGTCTGTTTCCTGGGGGATTAACAACACTAAACAGGGGCCGGCAGGTGGCGTGGTGGTTAAGGCGCTGGACTCCCACACGGCCAACCACAGTTCAAGCCCCAGACCTGGCAGCTTTCTCTTTCTCTCTCTCTCTCGCCATCTCTTTCTCTCTCTCTCTCTCTCTCATCAAATTGAAGAATAATAATAAATAAGTAAAGTTAAATAAATAAGTCTAAAAAAAGAAAAACCACTCAACAATGACCCAGCTGTGTGCTCTGCAGGTTAGGACCACAGGGGAGGCCCAGATTCAAGTCTTGTCCAACCTGAGGCCCAGAGAAGCAGTGTGCACGACTCAGAGAGTCCTGAGGCAGGGGTAAGGGTTGTGAGCTGGAGGCCGGCCTGGGCAACATAGCAAGGCCCTTTCTAAGAAAGAAGTGAGTGGGGACCAGCAGTTGGCATAATGGCTATGTCGTTGGACTCCCATGTAGTTGACTGCGGTTTAAGTCCTGGACCCCGTGGCTTAAACTCACGCCAGGTGTGTGTGCGTGCATGCCCAAGATCCCGAGAGGAGAATGGAGGAGAAGGGACTGCGGCATGGCCATCCCCCCTGGGGGGTGATTTCTCGCTTTCTGTCTCTCTGTCTCTCTGGTGAGCGCACGCGCCTTGTAGCAAAATCCTCTCCAAAAATAATAATAATGAAAGGGATAAGTGGGTAGCCACATGCCTGCAGCCCCAGCTGACAGACTGAAGATGGCGATCACGACACAGTGAGGTCCTATCTTCGGACAAAACAAAACTCTGAACACTTTTCCAGGAGACTAAGACAGCAAAGGAGAAACAGAACTTAAAGGTAGCCAACAGGGGACAGCAGGTGGCATGGTGGTTAAAGCGCTGGACTCCCACATGGCCCACTGTGATTCGAGTCCCAGACCTGGTAGCTTTCTCTCTCTCTCTCTCTCTCTCTCTTGCACATGCTTTATAGCAAATTAAAAAATAATAATAAATAAAACTAAGTAAATACCTCTTTAAAAAATAAAATAAAGACAGCCTGCAGAGCAGGGCAAAACCAAACGTAACACCAACCTCTTTGTGGGTCTTTTGGTCCCAGATATAATCACCCAATTCTAGAACTGTACTTAACAGCGACAAGTCACTTTGACAACTGCCAGCTCTTAGCGGGTCTCAAAAGCCCTGGGAGGGAGTGCCACACCCCCATTGTATAGATGAGGAAACCGAGGGAGATGAATGCATACCAGGTGGCAGAGCCATGACTCACAACCCAGTTGTTGAACTCCAGGTCCCAGTTTTATTTATTCCTTGTTACCAGAATGCCCTGAGCCAGCACCTGGGGGTAGGAGGCTGGCAGGCTGGCATTGCTTCTAAACGTCTCCCACTCATTCTCTCTGGCAACTCCTCAGCCATCCTGTAGGCATGGGTCCTGTGGTTCTGTCTCCACAGTGCAGATAAGGAGAGCTGAGCATCTGGACCAAATGTACCTGCTCAGTGCAGGACTGGGCCTGGAACCCACCTCTGCCCGTCTCCACGGCCAGCAGTGTTTGCAGGAAAACACAGCCTCTCCCTGCCCCTGGCTGCCTATGGACCTTCACCTCTCTGCCCGCTCCCTGCCCTTGCCTTCCAGTCAAGGTGATTCTGGACAAATACTACTTCCTCTGCGGGCGGCCCCCCTACTTCATCCAGAGGCAGCAGGTGTGTGACGGCCAGCCGGACTGTGCCACGGGAGAAGACGAGGAGCACTGTGTGAAGAACGTCCCCGACGGGACTGCGGTGGCAGGTGGTGAGTCCAGGGACTGGAGACCAGAGGAACGGGTGCAGTGGCCAGTCTGCCAAGGCCCCCTCAGCCCACTGTCCAGCGTCTGCCCATTTCTGTGCTGGTCTGCATCGCTCGTGTAAGGCTCAGAGAAGGACCGTGTCCTGCCCACCTTCAGATCCCCATGCTTGGTACTTAGCAAGCACTCCGAGACTACCCCATGAGCAAACATGGACCAGGGGGACAGGGGGCT